AGAGGAGGGGGGGGGTGAAGAGAGGAGGGGGGGTGGAGAGCGACGAGCCAGAGAGTGGGAGAGAGAGGGCGAGAGAGTACAAGCAACAGGGTTGCCAACAAGACAGAGAGGAGAGAGAGAGAGAGGAGACAGAGCAGGGAGCTAAAGAGGCAGAATAGGAGAGAGAGCGACAAGGAAGGCCAATGACAGGAATGAGCAGCAAGCAGGACAGGTAACACACAGCAGGTAAAGTACTCCTGCACCACAGAGGTGATTTCCAGCATCGAGCAGTAAATGTGTCCACAATGGAATTGTTGTTCATTCCAGCCAGTTAAGGCTGCAAAATCTCAGTCTGCTGGCACTGTACAACCTATGCAAGCACCACCCCCATATGATTAGGAGTAATACATGAGATATACATAGAGATGATTAGGAGTAATACATGAGATATACATGAGATATACATGAAATTATATAAGAATGAGATGGGTAAATGTGTATCAGGTTTGAAAACAGTAATTTACACAATTCAAAACCCTTTGACATTTTATGTGACACCGCAGAAGGCATGGTGGATGGGATTGTATAAGTGATACACTTGGCATATCATACACATTAATAGTGATCCTGCCTATGTGACAATACAGGAGGGGGCTGCAATCCAGCAACAGAGAGCTGCACTGATAACATGCAAAGTGACCCATCTCATCTAGGAACCAGCCAACCCAGAAGACACTTATAGGCAGCCAAAGAAAAATCTCTGACGACTACAGTTGGGTATACACGGGTATATATTTTTTGGTTCAACCTGTGAGCTAAACAAAAAAAAATATAACAGATACCTAAACAGCATGGATGGACAAATCTCCCAATCTGTGCTTTGTATTCTGACAGTGGCGCCGGCCGCTATCAGAATACCCAAACAGTGCTTGCAGCCTTCGGCAAAAGTTGATTAGATAGGGTCACCAGCAGATCGAATGTCAAACTAAATTTACTTTGTGTGTATTGGGGATGCACCGATACTAGTATCGGTATCGGTGCCGATACTGAGTATTTGGGCGAGTACTTGTACTCGCCCAAATGCTCCCGATGCCGGAACTTCCGGTATCAGGAAGCCAGGCAGGCAGCGAGTCATTACACGCTGCCCGGCTTCCTGATTGGCCTGAAAGCCGGCTCCATGCCCCCTCGTTACAAGAGAGCATGGAGCTGACTTCCCGGCTAAGCGGGAAGCCAAACGCGGGTAATGGTTCGCCATACGGCTTCCTGATTGGCCGAAAAGCCGCCTCCATGGTAACGAGTCATTACCCGCCCCCCGGCTTCCCGATTGGCCAGAAGGCCAGCTTCATATTCCCTTGTCATCTGGTGACGAGGGTGCATGGAGCTGGTTTTCTGGGCCAATCAGAAAGCCGGTCAGCGTGCAATGACTCGCCGCCCAGCTTCCTGATTGGTCGAGAAACTGGCCAATCAGAAAGCGAGTCATAATTAGCCCCCCGGCTTCCTGATTGGCCAGAAAGCCAGCTCCAGTCTTACTCGTTACCTGGTGACGAGGGAACATGGAGACGGCTTCCGTGCTAATCAGGAAGCAGGGCGGTCAGTCATTAACACGTCGTCCGGCTTCCTTAATGGGACTTCCAGAATCAGCAAGTACCAAAAAAAAAAAAACATATCGGTACTCAATACCGAAAAATTGGTATCAGTACATCCCAAGCTTAAATTATAAGTAGTTAGGTGTCAGTTGTAACGTATTGGCTTTTACCTGGCCAACTGAGGTGGTGTCACCTACCTAGCCAGAGTCAAGAAACTCTGGGGGGCACGTTTAAAAGGGATCATGGAATTCATTGCTTTTTACAGTGCAGCACCTCAACAAATTGTGCTTCAATTCCCCTCCTGTCCATAAAAATGTAAAACCAAAAAAATCAGGTGAGAAGCAGATAAGTTACAAAAAGAAAAAAAAATGTATGTATGAAATTAACTATATATATATATATATATAGAT